GATTTATTTGTAAAACGAATTCTCTGTCAGTTTAGAGCTTCGTATCAGAAGTTGTAGTATTATCGAAAAATTTACAAAAAAAAGTTTCGCACTGAGCACCGATCGTCAACCATCTTGAATGCTGTATGTGAACTTTCTCAAACATGATTTACTTCATGGTTACCAGCTAGAAACTGAAACTGATCACACAGTTACACCTATTTTTTCATTTCTACTTGAGATGTCTAAATTTTGCTGTATTATGACAACGCGGTACATACGGAACCTGCATAAACGACTCTCGAGCCGCTAAGAATTGCTGGCTGGAGCTACTTTCGATTAAAGGCTTATGTACCTACCCTATTTTCAAAACCGAGCTTTTGTTTGGTTAAAAATATTGCGCGAGAAACTTCGCAGTCTCGCACTCAATATTTTGGTTTTGGAGAGGTGTGAATTCTATTACTTTACTGTTTTGAAGTTATTCTTCATGCCCAGTAAATTGCTCACGTGTCAGAGAGGACTAGTCCATCTTTATTAATGACACTGGTCTCACTACGAAATGCAAAACGGGCAGATCACCTGTTTCATATTATCAATATCGTTGGCATGATCTGAATTTCAGCACCATATGAAATTTTGATCGATTATAGTAACGATTTCAAAAAGTCAACTGCCAACTAAAATTCCTTAACATAAATACAAATTTTCGGCATCTTTATTAAGTTACTGGTTTCTAACACCCTTCAAACAAATAGCGTATCACTGCAAAACTTCGTTGTCGTATTACGCTGTGATTTCCCTTTTCTTATTAACAGCTTTAACCACTGATTCTCTGTACGACATTCAATCTTTCGCAATCCAATTTCCTTTACCTTCACAGATAAGCAATTTCCCTGTTCCCGCATCTACAGCCAACATAACTTCCTTTTCCTATCAACACATTTCTCTCTGTCGCTAAATCATTGCTACAATCACTACAACTTTCGCTTGTTCAACTGCGAAGCATATTACTGATTCGTTCTCCTTAAATATATAATAAAATAGATTACAACATCAACATCATGTAACTCAACATTTATTCAGTAAATCTCACTTCCACTCAAATTCGCTAAAAGTTAGCAGCACTAGATCTGTATAGATCACTATCCATCATTAACTTGCTACAACTTCCTTGCAGATACAGCATATACGCAGTGCCGCCTGATTATTACTCAGATACCTCCGCATGTACCGGTCAACAAATGTTAAAATACCTGAATAGTCGAGTTGAAGTTCTTGCTGTAGGTAGAACACAGCACTGGCAAAACACTAAATGTGTTTCGACTAGGTGAATCGACTAAATAAGTAGCGCTGACGATTAGTCTGTCAATCGCTTGGATTCATTCCAAGTAGTTAAACATGTTCAGTGAAATGACTACGACATGAACTGCCATATCCCCGTCCTCAATCGCTGACGTCTGTCGAAATCGTAAAGCTGCATTTAACTGCAAAAACGCCGTCGTACTTGCTTAAAACCAGTCTTCTTAAAATCGATTGTCATAATTCGCATGCCATGTAAATCCGAAATGTATCAAAGTCGTCCCGAATGTAGCATGAACTAAGTCAGTCGAACAGCATTCGTGAATAATACTCGATTTTTCGTCGATCAATCACAAGTACGCCACTATCATAAAGTGATCATCATATTCAGCCTGCCACATATTTGAGGTTTCAGTTCTATCTTCGGTTTTACCAGTTGCCATGATTAACATCTGCGCAACCATACTGGATACCTGACGTACTGCCAAGAATGTTATCTAATAATTCAGTCCAAATAATTGTACACAAAACGTGCATACGCTCGAGATCATGTCAGTTGTGTGATAACGAACACCAACCGTTACTGCGAGCAATGTATTTTCATCGCTGACAGCAGCATCAGCATAACTGACGGGCAAATACCACGCCTGTATTCGTTATTCAACTTTGTGCATCAGTTAAATTCAAGACACCAAATATGAATTCAATAAAATTTATTCAGATTTAACAACCGTCTGCTGGATTAGGAAACATTATGAAAGCAAGTACGTATTCGAACGTTACAGTTCTACGAAATTCTTTGCGATGTGGGCAATGGCATATTATCCAATCGGTTAGTGTAAAAAGAATTGCAAGAGAAATAGACTTTAACTGCATGCTGGTAGCAAAGCTAGTCAGGTTTTGGTAGAGAAGACAGGCGGGAGTTAAATTTACGTCGGTTAGCTACTTCTTGCCCTTAGATGTAGCAGCTTGGGCTTTCTGAGCGGCTTTAGTCGTTTTTCCTTGACCACCTTCAGTCTTTGTTACAGACTAAAGAACAAACGTTGGATTAAAAATCGCTTGACTTATATTTACCTTTATGACACCAACTGCAACCGTTTGACGCATATCTCTAACGGCAAATCGCCCTAGCGGTGGATATTCGGCGAATGTTTCAACACACATTGGTTTGTTAGGAACTAACTCGACGATTCCAGCGTCACCAGACTTTAAGAACTGAAACATACACCGTCTACCGAAAATTATGCTCAGTAGGTGAAGACTTAACCTTTGGATTTGACTCCAGAGTTTTGCCAGAGCGCCTATCACACTTTTCTTTCAGTTCGTTGAATCTACACGCAATGTGAGCTGTATGACAATCCAGTACCGGTGCATAACCCTGTGCTATTTGACCTGGATGGTTTAAGATGATAACTTGCGCATTGAAACATTTCGCTTCTTTCGGTGGATCATTTTTCGAATCTCCGCACACGAAACCGCGTCTGAGTTCATTGACACTGACGTTTTTCACATTGAAACCAACATTATCACCAGGTAACGCTTGTTCTAATGCTTCATGGTGCATTTCGATCGACTTAACTTCGGTGGTAAGATTAACAGGGGCAAAGGTAACCACCATGCCTGGCTTCATGACTCCGGTCTCCACACGACCAACCGGCACAGTTCCAATACCTACAAACAGCGTATCACTTTACAACCATGAACGAAGATTAGTGACATATTAACAAACGGAAACGCTTAACAAAATGTCAGACCATTCTTTAAATTTACCATATCTTAGATCTAAATACAGATATTCATTAAATCACCAAACGTGTAGAGAAAAAATTAAGATGATCGACATTCCATTTTACAACAGATATGACTAGCTACACCGATAAATACTGAAAAATTAATTTGAAAGATTACCTCCGATTTTGTAGACGTCTTGCAAAGGGAGACGAAGCGGCTTCTCAGTGGGACGACTTGGAGGTAGAATCGTATCGAGTGCCTCGAGCAAGGTTTTGCCCGTCTGTGCACCTTCTTTCCGCTCGACGCTCCAACCTTTGTACCACGGCATTCTGGAACAAGCGTCCAACATGTTATCACCGTGAAAACCGCTTATTGGCACGAAAGGTATCGTTTTTGGGTTGTAGCCAATTTTTTTCAAGTAGCTGCTAACCTCGGTGACAACTTCATTGAATCGGGCCTAAGGTTTTGAGTGAGTAAAAAATAACATCTTTTGCTAACTCACCTCGCTGAACGGTGGTTCAGTTGTATCCATCTTGTTGCACGCGACAATCATTTGCTTAACGCCAAGCGTGTAAGCCAAAAGTGCGTGTTCTCGCGTTTGACCGTTCTTAGAGATACCGGCCTCGAATTCGCCAGTGCCACACGCGACAACCAGAACGGCACAATCAGCTTGAGAAGTACCGGTGATCATGTTCTTGATGAAATCTCGGTGACCGGGAGCATCAATAATAGTGATGTAATATTTCGCGGTTTCAAACTTCCACAAAGCAATATCAATCGTAATGCCTCGTTCACGTTCAGCTTTTAGTTTGTCCAACACCCACGCATATTTAAACGATCCTTTACCCATCTACAAGCAAAACTTTGAAAACATCACCTCGACATTTATTTCAAATTAAATTCTTAGAGAAACTCTTACTACGTTTAAAGCCTCAGATAAAAATAGTTCTAAATGCAAGGTTCATTGATTCATTACCTCTTGGGCTTCTTTCTCGAACTTTTCGATCGTTCGCTTATCAATGCCGCCGCATTTGTAGATCAAATGCCCGGTGGTCGTAGATTTTCCAGAATCTACGTGGCCGATAACCACAATATTGATATGCGTCTTCTCCTTACCCATAGTAGCAAATACTAACTAAACAACAATACGTCAGACAATCCACAGTCAGTAACGCCAACTCAGCATCAACTATTCACACACAAAACTTAACGCACAATTCGCCAGCAAGTCTCTACCTAATGATGGTAGCTTTATGACAAATCTAACAGAATGAAGGTTAGAATTTCGAAACGATGTATAAACCTGCCGCATGATAGTAAACATCCGTAAATATCATTCATACTTTCATATAAATAGAATTATCACAAAAATTTTTAAAAATATCAGCGATCTGTATTCGAGACCTCCTAACTATCATTTGGGAAATAAAATTAATAAACAACCAAATGCACTTTTCTTGTTTTCTTGGAGATTAAATTCAACGTAGTTAACAATACAGTAAGGCTGAATTAAATTTATCTGTACAGGGTGAAATACTAGCTTTCGTATGTTACAGCAGCATATCGGCAAGTATAAGCTTGTATTTAAACGTAAGTTTAGCAAACTAGCACATTTAACTAAACGAAAAATGAAAAAAATACAACAAAATGACAATCTTTTCCAAATTATCTCTTATGCCTCAATCCCTGTCTCTATTTTGTGGTATATGCAACCTCAACAGCAAAACAGATAGCAAAACGGATATTTTTGACGAAAACTGGCATCCTGTCCTACCAACTTTTATTAAAGTCAATTCAACGTTCTCTTCCATACGAAGCAAAAACATGGAAAAAAGCATTAACAGAAGCAAAGATAAACGATACGTCGCGCTGTAGCAAATGGCGGAAATCTTGTTCGAAACAAAGAATATGACATTTGACTCAAAGCTCACGAACGAAATGAATGATTGATGTAAACTCAAATATATATAAAGACAATAACAGGTAAAGAACCGCATATGTGGAACTTCATAAAACTTAACACACGATAAAAAGAAATAACTTCTTGTTGCAGATTGACAAAACAAGCTCTGAAGTCAACCGCGACCAAATAATGAGAAATTTATATCACAATTCGCTGTCAGTAGACAATTTTTACTGTTAAAGCAGAAAATGGAATTGTAATCAATAGCAGACAAGAAATTGCAAAGAGAGTTGAAGATTTTGTCATGATCATCATTATCCCCTCTTTCATGACTCTTCCTCCTTGCTGGTCGCGGACAGTCGTCCCAACGTTCCCAGAGTCTGGAGCAAGCTCCTTCCGAATATTTGCATCAGGTTATTCTTCGCCGTCTTCTTCTGCTGATCGGCTGGACAAGAAATATTTGCATCGTCTCACTTTCTGAAAGCATTCGAAACTCGTGTCCAGACCACCGTATACGTGACTTCACTCTGAAGATGTTGCAGTTGGTTGTACGTCGAGGCTCTCGCGGATTTGTGCATAATGCTACGCGGATATTAAAAGCGCAACACCCTTGGTAACGCTGAAGAATCTGAAACAGAGTAGATGGCAAAACAAATTTAACTTCTATTGCTGAAAGAAATACGATATACAGTATTGCATCAGAAACAAGGAAGAGCCCCTGACAAAGAGAGAATTGCAGATGAACTTCCGGATCAGGAGATGAATCACTGACAATGGTATTCGTTTGCTTATTGTTAAGCTGTATGAAGGAATTGAAAATCTTAGACAATTGTGCCACAGCATTTTCGTTTCTACTGTATACAAACGGGATAAATTGAGTTAAAGAACTACCAGTTTTCACAGAATCTTCATAAGGATACAGTCGAATCATACATAAAGAAAAACGGGACTCTTATTAAGGGACCGAAGTATAGGTAGAGCGGTACGTTCATTACTTCTTCATCGTCTGCGAGGATGGTACACGGTATACAAATTTCCCTGTCAGATATGCCTATGAGCCGTTTAATGCTGAAAGGTGCCATGTTTTCATAATGGAACATCAGTTATTTGCGCAAAAGCACAAAAACTTCGTTCTGTCATTGTCAAGACAGCAACTGCATTTTCATCTTCATCTTCATCTTCATCTTCCATCGCCGCTTCTCCTTTCGCGTCGCGGAGGCATACACGTCAGACAGAACTTCCTACGTTCCCGATCCTGTGCCAGAGTCTGAGCTTCGGCAAAAGACAAATGGAGTCTGGAACACACTTCTTCC